AAAAAAAAAAAAAAAACACACTTCACATTTGTTGACAAAACCATTTAGAATTAGAGCACAATTAATCAAACCAAATATAACATCAATTAAAAAAAAATCAGCACAAAGCTGACATTATCAAATGCCTAATTTTGTCATATCCAAAAAAAGACATAACAATAATATTATTTAAATGTTTAAGTTTCAAAAGTTGAATATGTCAAATTCTACCCCCAGAATATGATAGAAAATGATATCCCAATAGCATACAACAACATCCAAGAGTACCCAAAAGCTTGAGTTGTCATATTCAAACACAAAATAGCTAGAAAATGACATTATTACTATCAACAATTAAACTCATTGCAATCTTGAAATATCATATACAAAAACTCTAAATTATTACTGCTAGTAGCATCAGTACTTCAATATGCATGATCTGGAAAGGTTGGCACTCCTAGTTGACCCTAAAATGCAAACAAGATATATTTTAAGTTGTGAAAAAGCATTAACTAATCTAATACATCTCCTTATTAAAAGTCCAAAGTCAACAAACAAACAAGTTGAAACAAACAACTTACTCCTACCTTAATTTCATAGTCAAACCACTTGAGATAAAGAAGTAAGTTCAAGCTTATAGCTAAGAGCTAAGAGCACCTCAAATTTTTACTCAGACCTTTCATTTTCAATGACTTATGGCTGCTCATTATGTGGAAGATTGAAACAAACAGCTTAATTTATTAGGTCACTCCCATGATCTTATTGGCTTAGGCCTTGGATATTAGCTGTATTGATTTGACTTTTTTGATTTATGCCTTAAGTGTTGATTGCAATGGTCTGAATTGGCTGGTTTTGGGTGTTGGTTAAAGTACCTCCACTTCTGCTATTGTTTTGTATAGAAGATTCATTGCTTGGCTCATTCTCACAAACAATAATTTTGTGCAACCTTTTTCTTGGTTCCTTCATCTGTCAAGTTTTAAGAAAAATGAAACAAAAGGAGTAGTGATTAGTCATACCACTCAAAAAAGTAAGAAATAAAAAAAGGTATGTGAATGAAATAGAGTGGTAATTTATCAAAAGTAATTGAGTACTCTAAAACCACCTATCTTGTTCTAAATCAAAGCTTTCCTCTAATGAGCATTGTAGGCAACACATGAGTGAGTGCAATAAGCTTGAATGAAAACCAAAATGACAACAAACATGCATTCATAATAGAAAGAGAAGATACCTACTCTGCGTATCTACTCAAAGCTCAAAGAACTCTCCTAAGTGAAACCCGCTACCCACCAAAACTCTCACATTAAAATTGTAGAGCCTAATTTAGTTTAGACCCAATTGAAAGTCCAATTACACTAAGACTTAAACCGGTTTCAAAATGGAACTTCTCCATTAAAATTACATAGGAGAGGGTACTAGATATATACGAATAATACTAAGATATTCACTTGCATCAATAGGCACTTTTATGAAGTCACATAGAGTCTTTAGCCGTGCCATAACAAAACATAGATACTTTTCTTAGGGTCCCAAGAAAAACAAGTAAAACAAAGCAAGCAAAAGAAGAGCTAGGATAAGCATGCAAACTGCTTTAATGTCAGAGAAAGGTGTGAAGTACAAACTACTCCAACAAAACAAAAATCTAGAAAAGCAACAACTTGGCAAGAAGGAAAATAAACAGCCATAATTTTGTGATCATAAGAGCAACATAAGAATTGTAGGCAAATGGATCTTTGACGTAAAACATTTGTTGCACTTGAGATGGGAACACAAAAGGCTTGTGGCTAATGAGTTCTTTAGTCTGAATCAAGAGGGACACCAATTAAAGTCCACAACACCTTTTCCTATTTTGATCTTTAATCTCTCATTTCTATTTATTTTGGCTTAATTTCTATTTATTTGTTATTCATGCTCTTTTTCTTTTAAAGTCAACAGGTTTAAGAAACCCAACTTATTCTTATAGACATTCTATGAAAATGATTTGTTTTGATTTTGAACCATATTAAATGTTCTTACCATATTGGTTCAACCTAAAGCCATACATTATTTTGAACCCTAATCATTGATTAATCAATGATAAAAACCTAAGATTAAATAGGCCAACAACTTTCAGTGCAAACTCTTTCCTATAAAAATTAAATTTGAATTATAGGTATACAAATAAAACACATAAAAAGATGAGAAAATATTACCTTCTACTATCATTATGTAGCCTAAAAAAATTAATCATTACCCCTGCATACTAACTCCTTATCGAGATTCACCAAAAAAAAAAAAAACTGCATACCAAGCACCAATTGTAAACTCTACTAAACTTCCAGCATTGCTCAATTAAAAATAACATAGACCACATGTAAGGATAGGTCCGAGGTTCTTAACCTCGACATACTGTTACAGTTCCTTAATAACCGAAATGAAGTTAAATCCAGCACTTTTCGACCAAGTAGCTGCATGACAAGTATAGTGAACATGTCCACACCTGATTATTGTACCTATGATTTTGATGATTACAAAACACATTTGAGTAACTAATTGATTTATTAAGTGTGTAGTTAAATTGTCAATATACTGCAAAATAAGCAAAATGAAATTGCATTAAAAAGGGCTCAAAGGGCAAAAATGTGCAGAGAGCTGGCTTAAGAAAATTGTAGTCGGCTCTGGGAAGCAAAAGTGCAGAGAGCCGGCTGCAGATTTTGTTGAGCCTGCTTTACGGGCCAAAAATTCAACTATTATGTTGGCGCGCGTAGAAAATGGAAGCAGAGCCAGCTCCAACTTTATAGACGGCTGTGAGGGCACATTTAATGCACAACGGTCGACTCTTTTGAAGAATATTTAATGTATTTAAAGTCGAAGTTCCAAAGCCGGCTCAAAGTTCCAAAGCCGGCTCAAAGTCTTGCAGCTGGCTCTCGAGGAAAACAGAATGTGCAAAAATCCCACAAAGCCGGCTGCAGAAATGGTGAGTCGGCTGCAGAAATGGTGAGCCAGCTATACAGAGCCGGCTCTAGGAAGTTAAGCTAGCTCTCTTGACAATCCTGCAACTCGAGCTTTGCGTCCTGCAGAGCATTTAATGACCCCCAACGGCTAGTAACAGATATTTTCAAGCAAGGAGTTATAAATATGGTTGGTAATATATCTGAAGAGGTTTAGAGAGCATTGTATTGAATATCTTTACCTACCAACTTGTGCTTTAACTTGAGTTTTTGATCTTTGAGAGATCTTTGTTTGTAATTCTCTTCTTGTGCTATTAGTGAGTGATCTTGGGGGTGTGTTGATTCCTTCAAGAGTGATCTGTAGAGAGGATCTTTGGGGTTTATCTTGTGAAGGGGTGAGATTTGAGAGAAACACCCTTATTTTTGTAAAATGATTGAGTGATTCTTTTAAGCGACCCTTGTTATTGTTAGTGGAGAGTGTGGAGGAAATCCTTGGTGAGTGAAGCCAAGGTAGAGGACTAGGCTCCAAGTGGTTGGACCGAACCTCTATAAATCATTGAGCAAGCTCTTCTTCTCTACTCTCTTTAATTTTGGTTTTGTGGTTGCAAAAATGGGAGAATTTTTGGAACTCCAATTCACCCCCCCTCTTGGAGTAGTACATTGAGTCACTACTGATTCCCCACACCTGATTTCCTAGTCCCGAAATCATCGCCTAAAGGGACACGTTAGACTCTAATTATCTCGTTAAACAAGCCATGTGGACACCTCTTTAAGGCCTATAAATACCCCTAGGGGCTACCTCAGAAAGGTAATTGAAACTGAGTTAAAGCTCATTTTTCCATTATTCTAAAGGTAGATCTGATTATTGCTGACTTAAATATCGGAGTATCTACCCCAAAGACCACCTCAGGGCTTTGCAGGTATATCTGGAGTAAAGACACAAACTGAAAAAGAATTTCTGGTTTGGTGCAATTACACCACGAGTAATGACGTGCTTTGCCACACAGTTTGCAAACAAATGCCACATATACCTTTTTTATCCTTAATTTTGCATTTTGTCCATATATAAGCACGAGTGTTGCAGAGAAAGCGAGCTTTAAACAGCTATGGGTATGATGACACATAGTTAAGATAATTCTTCATTTTCTCAGCAACCAAAAGACTAGTTATCAAAAAATTTAAAAAAAAAAAAATTTATGCAAGCTAAGAAAACAATAGCACAACGAAATTGCAGAAAAAAAAAAAGAAAAAAAAACTAGGAAAAGAAAGCTCTAGTGTAGAATCAAAGACCATACCTTGAAGGAAATTGAAAAATATGATTTAGAATAGAAGACCTATGAAAAGAATCCCTTAATCAGACTATCTACTTCGGAGACACAAACATGCAATCAAAAAGAAAATGAAAAGAACCTTCAACCAAACATTGAGCTAAATGAAATTAGAATAAAAAATGAGCTCGAGAGACGACTAAGCGGAGAAATTCTTGGAGGAAAGCCTTTTTTTTTTTTTCTTTTGGCAGATGCCTTCATTGTTCACGGACAGTCGGAGAAAGCTTTTTTGAATCTTTGAGCTTGAGAGACTAAGTGGTAAATGAAAATGTTTCTTTCTTTTAATTTTAGTTTTTAGTTTTTTATTTCTTTGGTGCTATTTCAGTGGGCCTTATTTTCATTTAATTCCTTGTGTTTTGGATGTAAATGCCAAAAGAAAATTCAATTGTTGGCGTTTACTATATAAAATGCAGAAATTTACAAATATATGCCTGTGTTTCTCAAAATGCCATCTAAATATGGCTAGTAAAGACAAAAAATAGGAGTGGATTGGCATTTGAGGAAATGCAAGAATATAAATGCAAGGAAAGGTTCTTTTTCCTATAGTGATTTATTTCTATTTTACTCCTATGTTATAAAGATAACTATAACACATGTTATAATAAGTAAACTGGTTAGATTGTGATTAACTAAAGATAAATATAAAATTTTATGAAGAGATTAATATTTATTAAGTAGATCTATAAAAATACACAGTATAAAATAATAAAATGTCATAAAATAAAGAAATAAACAATTAAAAAATTAAATAAGAAGGAATTAGAGATTTAGTGAGGCAATGTAAAGAAAGATGACATTTATATTCTTTTTTTAGAGGAGTTGAAAGCTTTTATTTAGTTGATTAACCTAGCAAATATATATGTTGTGACATATCTATAGAAGATAAATCGATAAAAGCTAGCTAAACAACTGAAGGCGGAGATCCAGATAACTTAAAGATATTATAGCATAAAGAGCTCTCCTTATTATTCGTCTGCTGAAGAGAGGATGGTTGAGGTGGTGGTTCTTTAAACTCTCCCTCACAATGCAGAACCATTTCCAGGGCACTTGAAGCTGCACGACCAACATCAGTGTATAAGCCAGTCTTCGCATATCCTTCAGCTTCTATAAGGTATTTGGAAACCTGGTTGTAGTAACCGATACAATTTGTATATCTAGACTTCAGTTTAGGGTCAGTTGTTTGTTGTAAGGAATTGAGTAAGTTAATAGTGCTTTGGGAATTGCTCCGCGCTTCTTCTATTACTGGGACTAAGGCTGCTGTTTTATCGGCAAAAGCTGTGCTCGGAATAGATCCTACAAAAGACAAGAAAATCATAAGAGAAATCAAC